TGAATTAATTAATACATAGTTTTCTGCTGTCTGAAATTCATCAGGAGAATATAAGATAGTTTTATTTTATAATTGTTCATCTATTAGATATTGAAAAATAAAAAGTTTGACCTTTATTTATGCTCTCGTTTCTTGTTTCTGCTGCAGCATGAGAAGCACGAGGCAAAGAAAGAACAAAATTAAGTCAAAAGAGAAAAGAGGAAGAGACTCAAGGAAAGAAACATTTCTTCAAAATTTAAACCAAAATAATGTTCAATTAATTAAAAATTTCTTAATTCTGCATCATGTTTAATTCAACTATTTTGTATGGTTACGATCCAAAAAAATTTCATCTCTCAGAGTGAATTAATGCTTGTTGAGCGTTTAATTAATCGTGTTGGTGTTATCTGGTTTTGTTCAGCGCACCATGTATTTCATTGTTAATAAAAATATAGAATAGTTTACTTGGTGATAATTTGAACGACATTTCTTTCAAGTATATTTTTTCTTTATCGTATTGATGGAGGGGACAATAAATTCCAAAGAAATGTTGAGGAGATTCTTTTGAAAATAAAACTTTTTATGGACTCTTGGTTATCTCATGTTCTTGACACAATTCTCGTGCTAATATTATAAAATATTAGGCCAAAATGATGAGGTGAGGGAGAATCTATAGAGAGTCTGGCTTTGAGAAAGTCTCCTTAGCATTTCTCTAAATTCTACTAACCACATGAATTACACTGAAGACTTTTCTTTTTATTAGGTTTTTTTTTTTTTGGAAACTTTTTACTAGTTGTTTAGTCATGTGATCATCATGACTAAGGTATGTCTTCTCGTGCACCACTAGAGAATAAGAAAAAATGTACAATTTTGTTCCCAGATTTACAGTTCATTTATCGCATTTTGGATTTCAAAATTTATTTGTAATTTATTGAGTTATAATTTTATGGCGTTGAGAAAATGAAGTTGAAGGGTGATTTTGTCATTTTAATTATCACTTTCAGTTTTCAATTGAGTTTTTACTAATTAGATAGAGCTCGAGTCCATGAGCGCATAGGCTCAAGCCTCAAACAATGCCTAAGTTGGAGTTGGAATGAACAAGTTATTAACATTTTACAGTATTCAAATCATTTCGGCTTAGACCATCTCCAACCAAGGTCTGTGACACATCCCGAACGAGATCAGGGCGTGCTAGCTGTCACGTGAAAGTGACGTAGCCATGTGCACAGTGCGGAAGCTAATAAAGTAGTAACGTAAAAGTACGAATAAAGAAAAACTAGCATACAAGGTAACAGTAATAAGTGCTAGCGAAAGTGAGACACAAGTTCAGAGCAGAAAGCCTAAAGCAGTCCAACTAAAATGACGCTACAACAGTACACCCGAAGGTGGTCCCTACGCTAGTGATGGTCTGTCAGAAATGCCGGGAAAGCCCTCTGGAAACCCACCGAACCAACTGAACAACTAGAACCTAGAGGGGCGCAAAACAAAAGCGTGAGTGGGCAAAAACAAAGCTTTTCGAAAACCATTTAACAAAATAAGTTATAACCCCTCGCCGTAAAACCTGTATACTTCCCAGAAAATAAACATATGTACATATATATATATATATAAATATATCCATCATGCTTCAGGATATGCCATGCCAAATCTCACAATGAAATGCAAGTGCTCAGGTGAAAATCATATCAATATCATATAGTCTGGCAGCCGGAGTCACCTAACGTGACCTGTACGGCTGCATCTAGAGCTCAAATCTCAATCTCAATAACTAAACCTGCCCACGAGTCGGAACCACCTAAAGTGGTCTATACGACAGGCCTGGGTGTAATACATATAAACGCTCTAGTGCTACGATCACGTGAAGGCTGTGCGAATAATCGCGGGTCACCTACGAGTCGGAACCACCCTAAGTGGTCTATACGACAGGATTGTGCACCTAACTTGGATCCAAGCTGAGCGTGTGGTGCGGGAGGTGAACATCACGTGAAGGACTGTGCCCTACTCTGGACGGGAGCACTAACATCGGGGGTGCAGGTTATGAGCTCTCTAAAGATCTCGAATCACTACTGAATATAAACATGAATAACACTTACCTGTGCGTCCACAGCACCCAATATGGATATATATATATATATATGTATGCAACTAATAATGCGACTAACGGTGCATAAACAACAATAATATAATGCATGGCATATGGCAAATAACAATTCAAATCGATTTCTGGGAAAATATAAGTATATAGGTATATACAGAAAACCAAAAGCCCACTCACTGGTATGTGGAAGGGTCGTAGGCCCCCTGCCTCGAGTGACCACGCTCGTCCTCGGGATACGTCTCACCTATATGCGAAATAACTATAAAAACGTTAATTTTTAAAGCACAAAGCCAACCTTTGAAAATAACTTCTCATACAATGCTCAAATGGGCTGTATGAATACATCAACGGGATCTACTCAACCTCACGAACATCCCTATATTTTTAAAATAATTTTTCACTGCCACACGCGCCCCCACGCGTCGTCCAAGGCACGGCCACACGCCATTTTTCAACCAAATTTCACGATTTTGGTACCAAAATGAAGCCTAGAACTAGAGGAACACAACCATACAACTTTCAAGGGTTAAAAACCACGAAATCTCACCTGCAAAATCTATCCAATTCCGGCCAACTTCGAAACCAATGATCCCGACGTCCAATTCCTTCAAACAAACTACTCCGAGCTTCCTTGAGACCTCACCAAGCTATCTACAAGCTTCATTTTCCCTAAAACGTGAGAAATCACATGTACATGAATAGTACTTCAAATCGGATCTCGTTGAATCGACTGGAAATGGTATGGTTGGACTCGTACGAGCCTCACGAGCTCGAATATGGTCTTGGTTCCCTCGATCTGTGGAAGTTTAGTGTGCTTGTGTGTGTGTCCGTACGTTTTCGAAGAAAAAGGGAAGGAATGGGGCTCGGGACAGGTGCAGAGAAACAGGGAGAAAGGTTGTGGTGTGTGGGAAAGTGTGTGTGGCACCAAACATGCCAACAAAACCCCAAAACAAACAATAAACGTAACGAAATCAAACTAGGGGCAAAACTGTCTTTTCACACGTACGTTTTCGATATTTTCAGGACGGGCTGTCACACCTACCCACCTTATTAGAATTTCGTCCCGAAATTCAAAACAACCAAATAACAACCCCTAGTGACCAAAAGAACAATCTAGGATACAAATCCCTCATCCTATCTTCCGTTTCCCACGTAGCTTCCTCCACGGAATGATTCCTCCACAAAACTTTCACTAACCTCACTGTCTTGTTTCTCAAAACCTTTTCCTTCCAATCTAGTATCGTCACTGGTTCCTCATCATAAGTCAAGTCTGGATTAATCTCCAAGGGCTGTGGAGGTATCACATGAGACAGATCGGTAACATAATGTCGAAGCATGGACACGTGAAAAACGTTATGCACTCTAGCTGCATGCTGCCAGCCCTTTAGCCCTTTCAGATTTTGTAGGGCCCACAAACCTTCTGACCTAACCCTTGGTTGGAGATGGCCTAATTCTAGTCATGTGAGCCTAGTCCGGCTCTACCTACGCACTTCTGGGCATTCCAATCGTTTCGACCACTATGAGTACCACGTGTGTAAGGACACAAAAAAGACATGTTTGAATCACTGACTACTGCGTGAGAGTGTTTACATCAATTTGGAGAGCTGCACATAAACGTGGAAATGGATGCGGACTTGGTGAAATGGTTTGTAAGCATTAGTTAAGAAACGACGGCAACTCAAGGGAAAATCCATTGTAAGCAGATAGAAAAAAAAAATTTAATCAGCTCAGGGAAACTTGTTTAAAAATGTACAAAAACTTGAAGAGAGATTGGATAGAGGAAATTTGCAACTACGAAGTTTAGGATCCATTATCGTAGGAATTCAACGTGAAAAAGAGTGTCAACTGTAAACTACTTGACACACTTTTCCTCCTATTTTATCCAAGCTTAAGGCCAGCAACATAAGATAAACTTACCAGGCAGAGTTCACGTAGTAACTTCCAAAATTCCATTCAAATATTTCAACAGCTCCAGTTCACATTAGTCGAAGAACTACTCGGAAAATAACACACCACTTAAAATGTTCTATGCCCAGAAAATCCACCAAAATAAAGCAACACTTCACAGCTCCCATGCCTATAAACTCACTAAAATAAACACTACACGTTACGTTAGGCAGTACAAAGTATATAGTTGCCAACAAGTCATTGGTGGTCATTTCTTCAGTCGTTGCACAAATGAAATCAACATTGGAGAAATGTTAGTGTATGAAAGCTAAACTTGAAAATCTACTTCGAATTGTCCAATTTATGTTTGCACCAAATCTGAGTGAAATTTGGTAACAGAGTTCTGTGGCCACATAAACAAGAAACACATTCAGACCAGGAAAACACAAATCACAGAAATCGACAAAACAAACAATAAGGCAAGAGCCCTGCAGTGATTCCATACAGGAACCCGGAACCTAAGAACAGAGCCCAAACCTCAAAGAGAGGCCAAAATCATTTGCCTCGTAAAAGAACAATAACTAACAATTGAAAAACTATCTTCAATCATTTACTCATCAATGGAACAGGCTTTTAAAGAACATCAAAATCTGGCAAAGAAGAGAAGAACAATGAGCTAGATGTGCAAGACTACGAAACTGCGTTGATCTTGTCGAGTAAACCGGCCCTCTTGATAACTAAGCAATACTGACCAAGACTTAGGGTGCACTACAATGGAAATATAACCATACCCTAGCCAGAAACCCACATACATAGGCATTCCACATTTTATGCATTAAACTTTCATGACATAATAATACTGGTTGTGTTTATGTAGTTCAGCTCGAACCTAAAACATTTCAGTCATAAAACATACGAGAAACACTGAAATTGATTCAAAGTATGACCGGCTTCCAGCATACAATGACCTGTTTATAGCAATCATCTGAACTACGTTTTCCTAAACTTGAGTCATTAGTAACCTAAAATACACATATGAAGCCAAACTTTCCACAGGAATATTATTGAATTAGTTCTTTAACCAACTACTTTATCATAATAAACAACCATCTTCAAACATAGTAAGGTGACCTTCAAAAAGACTACATTAGCATCACAATACGAAATTCCAATTTTTTTAGGAAAAAAAACAACTAGGTCAAGCTCATTATTTCACCGAATACTTCTCCCTAGCCAAGTACTATACCCACTCAAGGATAACCTGCACTGTGGTTTAGATACGACGCTGCTTTGGGAGTCTACAACCATTGTGGGGCTTTCTGGTTGTATCTTCAATGTATACAATTGGACTGTGACCCACTCGGGAACTAGAGAAGCCCTCTTTCCAGCTCATGATAGCTTGCCTTTTCTTCTTAAAATAAGTAAACCCTTTCACCTTCATCACAACTGATTTTAAGCCGAAATTTCTTGACATGCGTCCAACGTGTTCTGCAGTTGCTTCAGCCGCATACTTCGCCAATTTAGGTCCTCCTTTCATATCTGGTATGGAACCAGCCGAGGCCCCAAGTTTCTTGTTGCCCTTCGAGTCCGTCACAGTAACAAAGGTATTGTTTTTCATCAGCTTTACGTGGACAATATCAGCATTTTGCTCTATATTATATCGAGGAAACTGAGAACCCCAAAAGTTGCTCCTTCCATCCTCCTCTACTACTCCCCTCACAAAGTTGATAGACCTGGAATTCCTCTCTTCATTCTCAGAAGCATTGAAACCATTTCGAAAATTTTCTTGGTGCCCTGTAAATCCCACAATATATTTTCAATCATTAGCAAGACATTACCACTAATGAAGAATTGATTTCCCTTCCCATCAAACATCATGACTCGCCATTTATCTTAGCAAACTAATTCCACAAGCAACCGTATTCAAAATGCGATTCAAAACCCAAAAAATTTAACTTAACATGTAATCAAATTCGTAGGCAACAAAAACAGGAACCCAACGTAATCAAATTCACTCAACAATGTAATCAAATTCATGGACGAAATAGAAAAGGAGGCAGGAACAAGAACTTGCCTGGCGGCATCCTAGAGTCGGAGAACGACCTTGAAGTGATGAGCTCGGCGCGGCCCGGGCATCGGGTTCTAGCTAGCCGCTGAATCAGAGAGGAAGACAGTCGAGAAAGAGAAGAATACATCGCAGGTATGATTTCCTGAGGAAATTAAACAAACACTTAATGGGTAATCTGAATAGAAATTAAATAGCATTTCCAATTCCCTCAGCTACTGGAGTGTGTGAAAGAGAAACAAGCCACCAGGCACCAACTACAAAGAGGAAATCGAACAAACCCCAAATCGGAAAATTTTGAAAGAAGAAAATCGAACCCATAAGAAATCCCAATCATTCAAACGAATTGAAACCCAATAAATTAAAAACCAACAAACCCTAAGGAGAAGCACAAAACCAACGCATGATAATATTCTCATTAAACCATCATCGATGTTCATATCCGATACCTACCCACTCAGAACTGAGAGAGAGAGAGAGAGAGAGAGAGAGAGAGAGATACCCAAGGGGGACCAGAGAGCGGGCTGGAGAGCAGGAACGAAGAGACGGAAGGGGCCAACCGAGTGCGAAGAACAACACTGCTGTAGACTGGGTGCCGAGACGAGTGCGTGCATTTCTTTCCGTCTTTAAGACCATGGTAGGGCAGCCAAATATTTTAACCCGAAAAATTTAGTTTTTAACCTAGAAATAATTTTTTTGCTCTAATCATTCTAACTTAAAATTTTAGCTCATGATTATTAAAGAATGAACTTAAGCTATTTGTTTTGTTAAATTAAATTTTTTTTAAAAAAAATAAATATGTAGACTATCGTAAATTAATTTTATGAACATTTTAATCCAAAAAAATTTAAATTCCGATAAATATTGGTTAAAGTCCACTCCGATTTCTAAGCTAAATTTTAGGAGGAATTTAGCCTTGGTTTAACATTTAGCATTTAGCCCAAATTTTCCACTTGGGTTGAAGTGGGTTTGAAGGGAAATTTTGGGGGGTAATTTGGCTTTTAACCCACCATTGGAGTTGGTCTAAAGATAGTTTATTTATTTACTTTCTAACCAACATCTTTTTCTTATTTACTTTTCAACCCCAAAACTTCAAATAATACTTTACTACTCAAAGATTTGTATGAGTTCATACTCAAAAAATTTCGTGTTCAAATCATAGAGATTTTTACTTATTAGAATCATTCATAATATCAATTTCAAATTCCATATATTCATAACTGTATAAAAAAAAATTCATTATACATAGAATGCATCCTTAATTAATTCAAATAGAAAATATTCAAACTAATCACAAGCTACTAGCTACAGCATGAAAAAGTAATTTTCCTATAGAAGCAAACTGCTCATACATCTTTAGAATCTCACTAATTAGTTGAACCATGCAAGCATGGTGTGCCCTCAAAAGGTCTATTAAAACGCATGCCAACTTATATTACTCCATCGGTCCACCCTCGCACAAATCACACATCAATTTAAAGCAACTCTAGCGGGAGCAATTACTCGATGGACAGGCTTCAGCACAGGGCCTGATTGCCCAAAGGAGGAAGTCCAGCGTTGGCTGGTGAGGGAGCCCAAGCAGGCCCAAGCACCAGGCCCGTGGATTCGTGCCAACCCGAGCGCCTAAGGTGGGTCTGACGTCAAACACATGTTTTAATGTTTTTTCTGTCAGAAGACCATACAGCCCTCCCACTCCTGCAAACTCCAAACCACCGTCACAACCTCACCATCTTTGTGAGTTTCACGAAACCAGGAAAATGGGGGGAAAATCCCTAAGCTCCCTCAATCTCTCCATTATCTTTGCCCATAACCCTCATTGTCTCTTTATATCCCTGCAAACACAGAGACACTGACAACCACCATCTCGCCGTCCTAACAAGTTTCACGCCACAAATAGTACCCACCTACAAGGTCTTCGATCACCAGAGTCCTACAACATAATATCAACCAATTTCAGGGCCTCCCAACTAAAATTCAAAAATAAAATCAAACAAAAAAAATGAAGAAAAAAATGACCTCATCCTTATGCAGAAGGTGGAAGGAATGGGAATAGAGTCAGGGAAAACATCAGTGATGTGAGGGATGTTGAATCGCTTCTCCAAATCCCTTTGGAACTTGGATTTCTAGTCGGGATCGCTGAAATCGATCTTCTGTCAGCTCTGGCTCTTGCTCTAGGCGAAGATGTGGTTGTTGTTCTTGGCAACTCCCCCGGAAGTAGTCAGTAGTCTCAGAGACGGTGGAGAGAATCGGTGAGAAGCGCGATGGTGGACGGCGAGTCCCAGCAGGGCGATCGTGTGCGAGAGAGTGCCCGAAACGGAGATGTTGAGGTAAAGTGAAGTTCCAAGTTTGCTTCTTCGATCAATGCGAGTGTTTGGAAGATTTGCAAAGAGACAGAGAGTGAAATAAATTAAAGAGGGAAAATCGAAAGCATGAGGGAGGCCCGTACGAGCTGACTAATTAGCAGAAAGCAGAAAGAGAGTGGGGCCTTGGTTACCTATTATTTTATTGCCTATTGTCAGGGCTATTGAAGTGCAACGGTGAAGATGCAAAAGGCGATTACTGTTCATTAAGGGGCAGTTACTGTTCACTAGGTGGATAGCATAGTGTATTGCCTGGGGGGAGGGTTCCCACGCTGGAACTGCACTAAGACACAAAAGAAACTTCTGATCAATGAGGCTTATGCAATGATTGACTCACCAAGTTGTTCGCACATATACGAGTAGTCGGGATGCTCAAAGTTTTCCATAAGGGTGCAGTGAGAGACATTGAACACTTCCAAATCCTTCATTCCAATCAATATACAAACCAAAGTTTTCTTGTGAGCTTGTACACTTTAGACTCAAGAGCTTAAGCTTTTGCATTCTACCAACCAGCTCATGATTTGACGAAAAGGAAAATCAAAACATGCAACAACCAATGACTTAAGTCCTATCCAGTTCCTGTTAGTTGTTTCAAATCCCAGTCTTTGTAACTGGGTTACAAGTTGATAGAACAAGCTTTGTGAGGCCTAGGGTTCTTTCAGCTGCATCACAAATGGGCTCTTGTGCGTCGTTTCTCCCATGACACCCATTTCTACAATACAGTAAGTGTTTTTAAGATTGGGGTGCGCAAATAAGTGTGAAGAATACATGATTTACATCATATATTATGTTGAAGGTTTGTGAGGTATTTTATCGAAAACTTGGGCGATAAAATTGATGGTCGTAGTAAAGTTGGTTTAGCCACATACAACATGTCCATAAGGTTCACATGAAATGACACAGGAAGTTACACATACATATATTAGTTGCAGAAGTTTCACATGAAATGAGAGGAAGTGTTCGTCAGTTTCACGTGAAATGAGAGTGGAAATTACATATGCATATCAGTTATAGAAATTTCAGCATGAAATGAGAGAAGATTTTCATCAATTTCACGCGAAATGAGAGAGGAATTTACACAATCATATATCAGTTAAAGAAGTTTCACATGAAAGTTACACATACATGCATCAATTACAAATTTCAAATATGGTAATTAATCGAAACAGATGATATGACAACATATTCCATTTTATGTCATTTATAACCCTGGCAATTTCTTGTACAACCTGCTAACCCAACACAAACAACACGAAAAGAACAGGTTTCAGATCAACCTATTAACGAGTTAAGTCGTTATTGAGTCAACCGTTAATAACCTGATAAGATTTTGTTTCCCATATGTATACATTACGTATGACAATTTCTTATGTCATCTGTTAACCCGACACGAAATGACATGATCCGTTAACGAATCACGTTGTTATCGGGTCCTCAACATTATGAATAACAAGACTTTCTGGTTCATTTAAATGAATCAAGGAACTCATATCTTTAACCCGAAAATGAAATTAAACCAAAATAATGCGATTTTTTTTTTTTAACAAACGATATTCTCTACACTAAGATCAACTCCAATCCTTGGAGTAAAACTCAAATTTTAGGGGGGTTGTATTCAATTGAGAAATTTTAATGGATTTATACATCCATGGAGTTTAAGGAAGTTTAATTGATTTGTAGAGATTTCATGAAAAATTTTGATTCAATTCTTTCGAAATCTCAGGGGGGATGAGAAATTTGTGAATGCTTAAATTGTACTATGAAATCTCTCAAATTCCCTCAAATTCCTTAACTTTTTTAAATCCTTTAAAATAAAATCCTAAATGAATACATTTGGAATGTTATAAACTTCTTTAAAGTCCTAATTGAATACACCTGAATTTCTAAGGATTTAACAAACTCTCTTAAAATTCTGATTGAATACACGTTGAATTTTAGAGAATCACTTAAAATTCTAATTGAATACCCCTAAATTCATTAAAAGAATTAAAATCCCTCAAATTCTCAATTGAATACACCATCCTTAGATTCTAAACCTACCCTAACTTGCTCCAACCCTTGGGTCAAATATGAATTTTAACCAAAAACTCATTTTTGGGGCAAATTTTGTCACATCCCGACCCAGGCTGGACCACTTCCCGGGCTCGCTCCACTACCGTAGCACGATATTGTCCGTTTTGAGCCCCGACCACGCCCTCACGGTTTTGTTTCTGAGAGCTCACACGAGAACTTCCCTATGGGTCACCCATCCTGGAAGTGCTCTCGCGCGCTACTCGCTAAACTTCGAAGTTCCCATGGAACCCGAAGCCAGTGAGCTCCCAAAAGGCCTCGTGCTAGGTAGAGATGGGAATATACATATAAGGATCACACCCCTGGGTGATGTGGGATGTCACAATCTACCCCCCTTAGGGGCCCGACGTCCTCGTCGGCACACACGCGACCAGGGTTAGGCTTTGATACCATATTGTCACATCCTGGCCCGGGGCTTCCTAGTGGGTCACCCATCATGGGATTGCTCTAGCCCCCTTCTCGCTTAACTTCGGAGTTCCTACAGAACTCGAAGCTAGTGAGCTCCCAAAAACAAAACCGTGAGGGAATGGTAAGCCCAAAGCGGATAATATCGTGCTACGGTAGTGGAGTTAGGCCCGGAAAGTGATCCGCCCCGGGCCTGGATGTGACAAATTTAGCTCACAATTCCCCCCTTCCCCCGAGTTAGTGGGTTGGCCCACCATCTATTTCTAATTTTTTTTTTTTTTTAGTTTTATATTTATAAATTCATTGAATTCAATAGTTAAGATCTAATATGATCAAATATACTGGTAAAAAAAAATCTAATTGTCCAAATTTAATTTCAACGGCTAATATAATAATAAAAAAAATCTTTCATGTGTTTCATATTCTTTCATAGTATTTCACAAGTTTCATGATGTCGGTTTAGTGATTTTTCAATATTAATCGCAATCTAAATATTTTTGGGTTTAAATGTTCATAAAATTAAATTATGATAGTCTACATAATTTTTTTTTCTTTTTTAATTAGTTACTTTAAGAATCCTAAATTCATTTTTTAATAATTTCTAACTCAGAATTTAACCTAGAAGGGTTGGATCAGAAAACATGTTTCTGGATTAAAAATTAAAGTAAATTGTAACAATTGTCCCTTAACTTTAACCAATTGGAGCAATGGTCCCTCAACTAAAAATTCATTACCATTGGTCCCTCAACTCATCAAAACATGCAGCTATGGTCCCTTAACTAAAAGTCCATTAACATTGGTCCCT